AGCGGGCAACCCTGTGGCAAAATGGTTCAGAAAAGCCAGTTAACATGAAATCAGAAACGAGAAACGTGCCTCTTTCGTACAAGCCCCCTCCCCCTTTCCTTGCTATACCAAGCGGGCGGATACAGTAGGGATGATGAGCGTTGAATGGGAAAACTTGACAAGGCGAAGGATATATAGCGCGGAAAAATATAGCGCGCAACTAACGGAAAAAAATCAGTGGCAGACAAATAAATTCTCTAGGATTCTCTAAAATTCATCAGGCTAATAAGGGCATTCCCCTTCCATACAGCCCCGCTGAAGAAATCGGCGTGCCCAGTTCTTTGCACAAAAATTATCAAGAAAAATAAAACAGCCCAAAAAGTACGAAACGCTAGAGTTGCTGCATCAAAACCCAATATAATCGATCAACAACATAAAGATCTTACCTTAAGGATTCATCACTGGGGCTTTTGGTCATTTTATGCCGTTGATCGGGCAGGGTGCTCAGCGCCGAGACGCTGGCTGAGAGATGCTTGGCGCCTATGGATGTTGCGCCTCCGGATGACGTGGACACTGATGAGCCTGGAAACAGAGCAATCCTCATCACAAATGATTCAGGAAGAAATGTGACGGGTTTTCATGGAACTGCTCCTATTATATTCAATGGCTAATGCGTTCCAGTAATAAAACATCTCTGAATCAGCTCAATGTATTGATAAAGATAAAAGTACACCATTGATAGCGTTCGTAAAGGACACGCTACCCAGGAAAAAGCACTAGATTATCAGAACTCTCCGAAGAAATCTTTGCTCGATCCAAGGGTTCTATGAACATACTAAAATCGTTCTCTATGTAGTAAGATTATGGTAGAGGGATTTTGGTGCAGTTCGATGACAGGGAAGGGGGGGGGTAAGCATTTTCCACTTGTGCTGCTTCACTAGTTCCTGTTCACAAGTCTCACTCTGGTGAAACCTGTGAACTCTTGTTAAGCTAGAGCAAGTCCGTCGAGCCACCAACCTATTAACTTTTGCAAGCACGTGAAATAGCTCTCCAGATGGCTCGACAGTCAAGCAGGCAAAATGCCCATCCCCCTCCCGTCGCCAAACTACCTCGGGATTCCTTTAGCGTATTTGAAGGGATATCCTGCTAGACGTGGAGCCATAGCAAAGCTCAAAGTGCAAAACCCTTGTATTGATTGCCGCTACATCCTAATCAATCACCACAAGTTGAAAAGGAATCGCTCTTTGAGCCCTGACGAGGACATTCCCCATACGGCAATTTTTCTTCTCTTGTCACATTACCGTACTCCTAACATGACAATTTCCAATCTTCGAATCTCGTGACCTTGTTGGAAGAAGCTTTCCAGCCCAAAGTTAGGTATCGCTATCCCTAGGTTAGGTATCGAATCCCTAGTTTCCACAGAACACGAGCCCAATGGCGCCGAGTGTGCGTGCGTCCGTCGTCGTTGGGAGCGCGAGTGGGGGCAATCCATAACGATGCGCTCCGGATTAGGCACACACCGAGTGAATATATGCAAGGCGCGTGCCTACACTAACCCCAAGCATGACCTTCATGCGCATTCACATGTCCACTGATAACTTCATTAGATTAGCCCATCTGGGAAGTCCCTCGTGTATCTTGGCAGCGGCCGTGCAAGAACGCACAAACGATTGGACGCACAGGGCCTTCGGACAAGAACCCGACATGACGTGGCACCCGTCAATCATTGAACGACGCTCGTCTCTGGCTACCGAAACCCAGCAACGCTGCTATCTGACCGCTGTGGGTATATCGCAGCAAAACCTCCCGATTCCTCCAACCTCCGCTCACAAGAAACTCAGCATTCAGGCCTACTTTTTGTTTCAGGGCAAGCACTGCTACGAGGCTCGCAATCACAAGCGCGCTCAACAGATGACCTACTCGGCGCTGCCACATTTTGGATTCAAATGGTGCTGTAAAAACCTCATCATGGTATTGAAAGCTTACACCATTACTGTGGGCATTCACATATTCCTAACATTGGTGCGACTTGAATGAGCAAAATTAGTTCCTCGAAGCAAAAAAAAACTGAAACCTGCTCCAAAAATCACATATCCCCTTATGGGAGAAGTTTTGGGGCAGCTCGGCGACCGGGGACGGGGAGGGAGGGTGGGTGGGCATTTTGCACTTTTACTACTTCCCATCGACGTTTCGAGCCATTTAAAGGGCTACTCATGAGCTTACAAGAGTTTAAAGGTTTATCATGGTGCGCCGACAACCTTGATACAGTTTCGCAAGAGTTCACAGGATTCACCAGAGCGAGACTTGTTCACCGGGACTAGTGGAACAGCGAGGGTGCAAAATGTCTCTCCCCCCTCCCGTTGCCGAACAGCGCTTCAAATATGGCCCCTTCCTCACCCCTCAAGGGAGAATTCTCAGCGATTGTGGGTTCGCTCGAAGACCTGAGCGGAATTCATCACAAGCCACCATTACCGAGTCTGACTGGTAAAAATCGCTATTATTTTTTGTTCTTTGTCTACGCTCCACATAACATCACCATAAAAGTGGAGTGTGTTTCGACTCGATAGTGCAGGCTGACATTTCAGTGTTCAACAACAACCCCACAGCCCCAATCATTAGCATGCTGGCAGTGGCTGGCTTTGGAATACCTTCAACCTTATTGAAATGGGAAATAATGACCGTGGAAGAAAACCAAACAAAGACAAGTCTAAGGAATAATGCTTGGATAGGCGGACAAGACATAAAATGACACTGAGTGGAGACACTAACCACGTAATTCGAACAGACTAGCGTACATTTCGCGCTTCTCGTCGCATCGCGAGTTCTGCCGCTGCGAGCTGCCGATGGCGGCGGCGGCACAGTCGCGCGGCCAACTCGTGTGGAATAATAAGTGAGTGATTGCTGTTGAATGGGCGAAACAACGACGGCAAGTCGAACAGCACACTTCAGATGTGGTTTGGGATGATGATGATGAAGACGGCAGTGGTGAAGTGAAAGAGGAGGGGTAGAAAACGGGAAACACGTTGGATGGCGTTGGGACGATGAACGCCAGTCAGACGGATAGAATCTTCTTTGGAACGGCAACACAGCGACTCCGAGTGGGGGTAGCCGGCGGCCGAAGAATTAGAGCGGGAGGGCGCCGGTTAATGACCGGCAGGCTCGTTGACGACTAGCTGGGCTGGGCTGGGCTGGCCTGGCTCGACTGACTGACTAGCTGGCTGACTGACTGACTGCCTCTGACTAGCCCTTTACGTCCGCCTACTCGCCTTCCAGCAAAGCGGCTAATCGAATAGCACACGACAACGACGACAATGCCCGCTCCTGCCGCCGTTGTTAATTCTGATGCTGTTGACGGGTGATTGAACAAGCTCCAAATGATTCAATTCTATGCCAAGCTAGATGTATCAATGCTTTAATAGTTTTGGTCGTTCGTTTACCTAGCACGAGCACCAACTCAGAAAACAACGCGACCTCACTTTCCTTAGACGTCAACAAGCACCCGTGCCAACACACAGGGGAAAACATTGACGAGCACAGCGGCCCATACTGACAATTACTGGCTCCTTAACTCGAGCATCGTTCCAATTTAAAACTCCACGGGTCCTAAGCCATTCTATTACATAGCCTAATTCTGGGCAATGCACATGTTCATTTGGTTTGCTTCGAAAACTCGTTCTCGTGGTTACCTAGCGACTCTCTTCGAATAACCTTCGTTAGCTTCGCCGTTCGATATCGGACGAAAACCTTCCTAGAGCTTCGCGCTTCACGAAATCCCATGCCACCCACATCTACCAAATATGTTACAAAGGACGGCAATTTAGGAGGAAACAGTATAGAACAGGCTTAAACCTTGAAATTAAAAGAATCCAAAACCCCACCCACTTCGAATTTCACGACGATTTACGGGTCCTCTGCGGGAAAAATTGTTTACAAAAATTTCTGCCATAGCTAGGTTCTTATTTTACCTACTAACTAGATGGCCCAGAGTTCGATAAAAATTCCAAATGCTGCCAAGATTTCAGAGCGTCGTTTGCTGGGCTTAAGCGGTTTAATGAAAAGCGGCGTCCATACCAGGAGCAGTTAGTCCAGGAGTCAAACCTAGATCGTGTTTCCGCCAGGGTCACGCAGGCTTCATATCCCCGAGGACCTTTTCATACTCACATTACAATCGTTAAACCTACTTGGCAGCAGTTCGGTGACGGGGGGGGGCATATTGCATTCGTGCTCCCAACAACGCGTCTAGAGAGTTGTTTCATGAGCTTACAAGAGTTGACAGGTTTTACCATGGTGGCTGGACGAGCTCTTCCAGCTCCACAAAAGTTCACAGGTTCCACCAGGGGAGAATTCTAAACCGGAAGTAGTGACGCGTTGGGCAAAAAACCCCCTCGTCGGCACTGCGCCCAGACTTGCCTTGGAGGACAAAGGCATTGAAACCTGCAATAATAAAGTCCCGCAGGGCAATGTATGAGCCAGATGGCTTCAGTAATGCTACTACCACGGAAGTAGGACCCCATGGCGCATTTTTTTGGGACCGATCAAAGATGAAAGCTTCTTAATTCTTAAATGTCTTTGTAACGAAAAAAGCGTTCTAAGCTGACTGTAAGCGCCCAATCGCCGGAAATCGACGAAGCTCGTAGCAAGGGGATAGAGAAACGCGACTAAGCAAGTTCAATTATCTCTGGACATTCGTCCTCAGTCGTATGACAACCTAATTGGCACAATCCACTGCCCACTACCTACATTCACATGTGGATAGGGGACCAAAGCTTGTTATTATTGCAACAACATCATACGACCTAAAACAACTCGTGGAAAAATTGATGAATGCGAAGCTCTGGACACTTTTTTCCAGGGATGAGCCATGCACTCTACTTCCATTTAGGTTCATGGTGAAATCCAAATGCAATTTGGCTCATAAAGTGGCTTATGGAGGCCAATCCATGAACCCGCCACTGAATTTATCAGTGCAGACAAGTTTAGTACTATACAGCAGATACTAGGAGCGATGAAAGTCATCGCTCACCCGACAGGGCCTGTGCCACTACAAGGGCACTTCGTTCCGCTGGGAAATTTTTTAGAGAACATGCCTCCCCCCTCCCAAACTTCTCCTAGTACGACCCTCCTGCTCCCTCAATCTACCTACCATTTCGTCAACTTTTCCCAACTTCACACAACTTTTTGCGAAATTTTCCGGAAATGTTCTAGCTTTCTTCTCCAAGACCGAGCAAATATGACCCCAATGAAATGCTCCCAGGCAGCAGACAACGCGCTTGAAGCTAGAAAAATTAAGTCAACTATCAACAGAAACTTTCAAGCCAATTACGACCACCCCCCCCCCTTTACGACCCACCAAATACAACTCCTGCTGGACCCCCAACGTACGGTATGCACTGGCCATTACGAAGTGTCGATAATGGTAAGATGCTGTGAAAATAAAAGTATCAAAGGGGTCACGGCCTCAGCTGATTGACCACTTTTCAGAATGCGCCATGTCTTCTTCCTATGGAACGCAGATGTATTTTAAAAAGTGATTTGGTCTGGGTAGCAGACCTAAAACTGTTTATCCTCACAGACAAGCATAGTACCACTTAT